CACCCTCTGCTGGGAGTCTTCCCCACCCTGCGGGGGGCCTTCCTCACACCGGCTGGAGGTGCCCAAGCAAACGAGAAAGAAGACAAGACGGCAAAGTATAGGTCAAAGGTTGTTATCTCTTTTGGTTTCCTTTTTTGCTTTTGTAAAGAAAAATAAGGTTGTGTTTTCTGTTTGAAACCAAACATAAGTAAAACCCCCTCCTGCCTGGCGTCTTCCCTGCCACTGCGGGGTGCTGGGAGCACTGGCAGGTGCAGGAGGCCAGGCTGGGAGGAGAGGGGCTGGGCGCCCCCTGCCTGGGAGCTGCCTCAGAGCCAGAGGAAGGTAATTTGGGAATGGAGTTTGGTTTTGGTAAGCAAAAAATAAAATTAAAAAGTGTCACATACACCCCTTCTACAAATGGGGACCAAGGGGCACCACCTCCGAGTTGGAACCATCTCTGGCAGTTGGACTCTGCCCAGGCCCCCCAGCTGGCCACGTCTGGGGTGGTGGGCAGGGCAGGATACAGCATCAGTAGCTTTCAGGACAGGAGTGGGGGAAGAGGAGGGTGAAGTCAGAGCAATCTCCTTCCCCACATGTTAAAAAAAATATTAAAAAAGCACCCAAAGCTTAAAAAAACTAAACCTCCCTAGCAGGGAGAATTGGTGGCATCCTGCTTATCAGCAAAATGCCTTACCTGGCAAAAATGTGTAGAAAAATAAAATCAAACTTTATCCCTGAATGATAGTGAAGACCCCTCTTCCTGCTCCCCATCCCCTGCCAAGTCTCAGGATTCACCGAGGCACCAGTTCCTCCCCAAGTGGCACGAGCACATGCTCCGACACAGGCAGACACACACACGCTTCCCCCGGCCCATGTCCAGGCCCAGGGCAGGTGCTCACAGCGGGAATCGGGGGCCTGACAGCCACAGGCACACATAAGCCCTCGTGCCTCAGCATCGCAAGGAGCCCCCTGCCAGACTGAAGTCCCTCCTTCCCCCTCTCTGGGGGCAGGAGGGGGCCCCAGCACGAAAGCAGGGGGCAACCTGCAGTATGGTTCAGAAGGGCAGTGGTAGGGACCACAGGGAGTGGGGCAGGAAAATGAAAGGGCAGTGGGGTCTCAGGGACTAGAGGAACCAGGTGCCCAGCAGGGGTGGGGAGGGGTCCAGTCTCATCTGAGATGTGAAGGCTGAGCTGAGGGGCTGCGCCAGGACCCCTGTGGCAGCCTGTGAGGAGGGACCAGAAAGTAGAGGCCTTTGTGTTCTGGGCTCTGTGTTCTCACGGTGATGGGGCCACTTCCTGGGAAGGTCGCCAGAGATCATGAAACAGAGGCGCATGTGGCAGGAAAGGGGAGGGCAGGTGTACTGGTCCTGAAGAACCAGCTAGGCCCTTGGCTAATGAGACACAGGAGCTCTGAGAACCCCAGGCCCAATCTGCACACCCAGCCGGGGCCAACAGGAAGGGGTGAGATGGGGCAGGGGTTGCCCGTCCTCTATGGGGCTGCCCAAGGGAGGTTTTCTCTCTGCCAGGCAGGGGTGACAATGCAGTGACCCAGGTATCACGCCTCCCTTTTCCCCCAGGGCCTTCAGCTTAGTGGGGCTCTGAGGTGACTGTCCAGGTGGGACAGGGGACTACAGTACGAAGATGTGACCACAGCCCATGGGCCCGGGGTCAGGAGGCAGTAGGGCCGGTTCCTGCTGCAGGTGCAGTGGTACTGGAGTTCCTGCCAAGCAGGGCTGGATGACAGGGAGGGGACCTCAGGGCTCTGCAGCCCTGAGGGATCCCTGGCATCGGGATCAGAGTGTCAGCACCAAACACAACCGATTCAGCCAAGGAGATGGGCGGGCAGAGCACGATCTGAGACGCACGCTCAGCCCTGCAGTCTGGCGGGTGAGGAGGAGCTGGCGTCCTGCAGACAGAAGCTCACAGTTTGGTGAGGTCAAGGGCCCTGATGACAGGGCAGAGGCGGCAGCCCCTCCGGGGAGGGGCCTGAGGCCGGCAGTGGTGGCAGCAGCATGCACCGGGCGCTGCCCTCCCAGCTTCCCTGACGGTGGGTCAGCGCAGGCTCTGGTACAGGTAGGCCGAGGTGAAGACGGCGTTGGCAGCCAAGCTCACAGCCAGGAGGCCCCGCACCAGGGAGGGGCCGAAACGACCTGCGAGAGCAGAGACCCGCTGGAGGATGCCCATGTGGGTGGGTTGCCCTGTGGCTGAACAGCGCCCCCTAGAAGGCCTTCCCCCTTAAGTCACCTCCCATGGCTGCAAGGCTGAGTGGGTCAGCCATCGGTCACCTGAGGGCCTGCAGTGCCTTGAAGGTTCTTTCTCTGCCAGGGTCCCAGACCCTCCAGGTCTTCGTCAGTGCCCTGCACCCACCAGGAGGTGAGGGCAGCTTCAGATCTGCACCTCCTGCCCTCCCCCGCACATCAGGGCACAGACCTGTCCAGGCGGCGGCCTCTCCCGAGCACCCTTGGGTGGTGGTATCCACCATGCAGGTGGACGACTGGGAAGAGTCATCCTCTTTCTTGATGGAGCGACTGCTGCAGGCGCTGCCTCTCTCTGGCTTCAGTCTCATGTCTGCGGAGAGGGGGGCGTGTCTCAGTGGGGGCTCACGGCTCAGTGCAGGGACAGACGGGGGTAGCTCTGCTTCCAACTGTAGGACACAGTCCTGGGCACTGGCAGCCAGCCTGCCCCAACCGGCTCACCCACCCTAAGCAGTAGAAGGCCAGGTTCTCGTTGGGATCCTGGATGAATAGCTGCCATAGGGGCAGTTGGTTTCAGATCACGAGCCACAAACTCAAATGCCACCGGGCACTAGCAGATGCCACCCACAGGGGAGGCCTCTGGAGGGTGAGGTCACCAGGGCAGGGGCAGCAGAGCCTGGGACACAAGACCGTGACTGCCCTGCCACCTCTGTCTAGCTGGCATTCAGACCCAGTGTGGCCAGATCTGCTGACAGCATAAGCGACACAGGAAATCCACATACTCATGTGAAAGTTCTAGATTTTACAGGTTGGAGCCTAATTTAAAAAATGTTTAAATGCTTTGCAGCACAACACCATTTGAACCAAACAAAAATATCTGCAACCAGATGCAGCCAGGCAGCACATGATGTGTGTTTGATTGGTCCCAAGGGACTGAGAACCCTAAAGGTCAACTGCAAAAGACAATAAAATCAGCCAGCAGAGGGCAATGTGTGAGAGGCTCAAGGTCACCAGACTGGGGGTGTCCAGAGCTTGAGACTGACCACACACATGTGGGTAAGAGCCAGGACAGGCCCCTGCTGACCCTTAGGCCTCCACCGGGTTGTCCCGTCCCCAAGGAGGATGGTCAGAAGGCCATACCCACAGTGTGCTTCGCGTCCTGCATGGGCTGCCTCTGGGGCACACGGGGTGGCTCCATGGGGAAGAGGCTGCCATTTGGCGGCGGCAAGTGTTCGTCCGAGCTGCTGGGGGTGTTGGGGGCCTCCCCGGCGAGTGACGGGAACAGCAGCAGCTTCTGCCCCTTCAGGTTGAGCCTGGCAGGGCTGATGAGGGGCCTGCGGTGGCGCAGAGAGCCCAAGCTGGAGGCCACCGAGCCGGCCACGGAGGGCGCCGGGGAGGAGGGGCAGCTCCCCGACAGCAGAGTGAAGTAACCTGGGGGGACAGAAGGGGAGAGGAACATCGGTGAGTGCTGGCTGGCACGGCAGCGCCTACTGCATGCTGTCTTGTTCTCACCCAGGAGGGAAGAAAACGCTGTGCAGAGATGCGGGACAGAGGGAAGCCCCGCTGGAAACCTGAGGGGGCAGGGGCACAGAGCCTCAGCCACGTCCCTCACCCTCTGATTTCTACCCGTGGCCCTGGTGCCTCCATCGGCGGACAGCAAGGCTGGCAGGAAAGAGCCCTGGAGACTCAGGCCAGCCACCCCAGCCCTGCTCAGATTGGACCCCTGCTGTGCCGTCTCCACTCTGATGGCCGACAGGGACGACAGCACAGTATGATCTGACCCTAGTAACTATCATCCCCATTCCACCAAGAGGACACTGAGGCACAGGCGTGTTAGCCACTTGCCCAGGGCTGGGATATGAACGCATATCTGCCGGACCCCAATGCTCACGCTCATCCACTCTGCTTTGGAAACCCTGGGCCCCTTGGTGCCCACCTGCAGTGGCCTCCCCATCCCTCCTCTCAGCTCTCCTCACCTGCAATAGGAACCTCCCCAGGTCGAGACACCTGCGACGGAGGACGGCTCCCACTGAACAGGTACCCTGAGTCTGGAGATGAAGGAGAAACGTGATGCACGTCAGGCCTGCAGACAGCAGCCACCCACCCCCTCCATCCCACGGTCCCCACGGCTGTTCTGCTGAAGCCCACCCTTTGTCATTTACCACGTGCTTTCATGAAAACGCAGATGCTCAACTGACCCCTCAAGCTACCGTCGGAGGCGTCCTGGGCACGTTCCCACTCTGTGGATACAGAAGCTGAACTCGTGGCAGGTGCTGAGAAGTTGGCCCGGGTCGGGTCCCTGGCTCCTCATTCTGCACACTTCTCCCCACACAAGGCCCTGCTTCCTCAGCCGTTGAGAATCCCACTTTCTCCACCAACCCTAGTTCCCGTCTGCCTGCCCTGGACCCCAGGGAACACTAAACACGCTGCCTTTTCCTAAATCGAACGCGCCCCAAGGGCAGGGACCTGTCTCACGCAGCTACATTTCCCCAATGCCCAGCTGAGAGCTGAATGTGGAAAGATCTGGAGATGGCCACGTGCCCTGCCGGGGTGGCTGCTGCTCCACCACAGTGCACAGGTCCCAGCATACTGCCTGCCCCTCCCCCCACCAGGCCTGGGGACACAGACCCCAGGCAGCCCACGTGACTGGGTAAGGTAGTCACATGACCCAAGCACACCAATCGGAGTCCTCCCAGGACCTGGTGTATGGCTGCTGGGGGAGGGGTTCCTCCTGCTGGGTGGGAGCTGTAGGATGAGGCCTGGGCGGGGAGGGCGGAGGCAAAAGCTGGGGAGGAGAGAGTGCCCGAGCCCCCGGGCCAGCAGCCCTCCTAGGTACACGAGCCAAAGACCTGCATGTGTCCTGTGCACCCACCCTGGCATTGGAGACTCTGGGATCCCACCCGTCAACCTGATGTTCTGAGACCAGCCTGAGTCCCACAGAACTCTGCTGCCACCTCGGGACGGGGCTGCTCCTGAGCCCTTGCCTCAACCTCAACAGGGATGTTGCCTGTTGTCTTCGATGGGTGGGAGGCCCCGCCTCAAGGGCCTGAACTGGCTCTGGTACTGTCCCCCTCCCCATGGGCTCGAGATTGAAGTCCCTCAGCTCCGCCACCCTCGTGCAGAGTCCCCGTGGCAGGACTTGGGCTCAGAGCAGGCCTGCTCCTGGCTCCCTCAGCGTAGCCTGCCCTCTTCTACCCCAAGTTCCATTCAAGAGCTGCCAGGCTGGGGACCCCCAAAACAGAGAGGGATACCTCTGCGTAGGGGAAAAGCAAAACCATCCTGATATCAACCTGGGGTGTGAGCAAAATGGCCTGGTCTTCAACCACTTTGGAGGATGAGGCCTTTGCTGTGATAAGTATCCCCCAGCCCAGAGTAAGCAGCAGCAGCCACTCATGCTGAGGGGTCTGCTCCAGGGGCTTTGCTGACCCGTCTCACTTCATCCCACCACAGTCCTGGAGGCACAACCGCCACATCTGAGAGAAGAGATTAAGGCACGGCGTGGGGCTGCACCTACCCAAGGTCATGCTGCTGGACCAGGTGGGCAGGGGCCCTGCTTGGCTGCTCCCAGCTAATTTGGCAGTTCTGTTTCTGCATATAATCCTCACAACAACCCTATGAGGTGTGTATGACCAGTCCCGTCATAGGTGGGAAAAGGGACATAAGCAGGTAATGCAACACACCTGTGGTGACGATGTGAAGGAGCAGCACTGTGGGTTTGAGTCTGTATCCCCCATTTCACTGCCATGAGACTGGCAAATGGGGCCAAGGGGCCCTCAGCAGCTGGCAGGGTTTTCTCTGGGGGGGGGGTGGGACTCTGATCTTCCAGGGTTTACCTTACGGGAAACTCCAGAGGTAGGAATCGCTCCCCTATGAGTTCAAATCCCTGCCTTTCACTCTGTGGGATGATTAGCTGGGATCATTTTATTTTTTAAAGAACAAAGCAAGAGGCGGCCCTCCCAGCAATCTGCACCCCTCTTCCCCCAAGATGGCCATCAAAAGGCTCTGGTGGGGTCTGCACCCGGGCTGGTCCTGGGAGCTTGAGTCCTTCCCCCATCCTGGGCCCAAACCAGCCCCACCCTGATGCCTAGAACCCCGTTCCAGCTCCTGACTCTCAAGGGAGCTCCAGAGAACTCTCTTTTGGGAAAGGGTCCCAGATGCAGGGCTTCCCAGGTCCCCATGTCCAGGGCATTCCATGGCCCCCTTGCTCCAGGTGCTGCTCACAGAAGAGGCCACGGATGCCCCAACAGCACCCAGGGGCTTGAGCCAGGCCAGATCCTGGCTACGACTCACCTGCTAACGTGTCCCCTGAGCCTTGCGTCAGGCTGGCCCCAACAGGGGCTTAGGAACACTCTGCTGAATGATGATTCCTAGCAGGAGCTGCTCTCCCCCAGCGACCTGGCTCATGTCTGGTTATACAGAATTGTCCGGAGTCCAGGTCTCCATACACAGGGCAATCCCACCTTCTCCCCACCCTAAAGGTCTCAAACTCTGTCCCCTGCTCAGCTCAAACGCCATCTCCTCCAGTGATCCTTCCTGCTGGCAGAGGGACTCTCCTCTACCCTGGAGGACGCTCACTTGCGTACCACAGGGCGAGAGGCACCTGAGCTGAGGAGCTGAGAGCTGGGATCTTACCCAGCTCCAGTCACTTAAGGAAACAGGCTCAGAGGGGTGTCTGACATGAAGCAGAAGGTCCCCTACCCCCGGCAGTTGTTGAGGGGCTTAACTGAGACCATGACTGCACATCACTAAACCTGACACCTACAATTTAATAAAGAGAAACTGGCTTGGCCAAGAACCCACCACATTCCTTGTGGATAGTACCCTGCCTCTAGACCCTGGTGCTCCCAGCACCGGGCCCGGTACCTAGAGAGCCAGCCCCCATGATATGCCCCCAAGAGCGAGACAAGATCGGCAGCTTCCCAAGGGGAGAGGATTGGCACAGAGCACACACAAGGATCTGAGTATGTTTAAAACTGGATTTAATTTACGACTGAGTTCTAGAAGATTCTGTTGGGAAAGGTGAGGGATGAGACAGTCTCTCAAGACAGAGGCCAGGTCTTGGTCCCCTCAGGGTTCACGAGCAGCAAGCATTCAGTAAATGCAACTGACCTGGACCCTTGGACCCTGTGCCCTTGGACCATGTAGAAAGGCTCGGGGCACATTCTCCTGCCCCTGGGTCTCCATCACAGCAGCAGTAGTAATAATGGTAAGAAAGGCAGTAAAAGACAAAACCCAGCAAGCACCTCCATGTGCTGCGCACCCGTGGGGGCCAGATGCCCTTCTCAGCACCTTAAACACATCATCTCGTTCAACCCTCAGAGCTGCCCACGAGGCATGTTCTTCTACTAGCCCCATTTAAAAAATTTTTTTTAAAAGATGACTGGTAGGGCCAAGCCCACAGTGCACTCGGGAGAGTGTGGTGCTGGGAGCGCAGCGACACTCCCGCTGCGGGTTCGGATCCTATATAGGGATGGCTGGTGCGCTCACAGGCTGAGCGCGGTGTGGGTGACACCACACCAAGGGTTGCGATCCCCTTACTAGTCACGAAAAAAGACAAAAAAAAAAAAAAAAGTTACATCATCTCATCCTGTCTTAAACTCCCAAACAAGTACCACTTGAATTTGAAATTACACAGTACTTTGTTGTGAATTATTTTCCATTGCCAATTATCTTCTAAATAAGGGAAGAGACCTAAGTGACCAAACCTTTATCACATGAGGCAACTTGATTCTAGACTTGGCTTGGACCACTGAAACAGGTGCTATAGAACATAGCTGCTGTCTTACATTTTCTTCATCTAAGAACAGGGAGAAGACAAATGGATTCCAAAGTAGAAAAGAGAGTGCTTCTAAAAGAAGTTTTCTTAGCAGAACATTACATGAAAATTTCACTAGCAGTTAGTAAATAATATTTTTCACCAATTAAACTGAAGTTTATCCTCAAGACAGGTGATACCTAGATGATATGCTTTGTTAATGGTCACTTAGAAATATTTAGGTATGCAGTTGATACGTCCTTCTTGGGTTTTCACTTCATTAATCATCTCTTTAAATATTGTCAACCATTTTTGTGACTGTTTCTTGATTTTTATAACTAAGAAGCTCATCATGACTAATTAAAAGACTTACTAAGCCAACATAAACAATAATTTTCTTAGGCTAATACAGCATGTAAGTCCATCTATATTACCACATTTTCTTAAGTCTGAGATACATTTGACAATTTTTTTCTGTTCAATCCATTTAGTGGATGCTAGTTTCTCCACAAAATACTATTGTTTTGTTTTTCCCACAGTGCAACTAAAAGAATATTTTAAACATTGAATTTAGATTTGAAGGAGGAGTAATACAATCTTATTCTATAAACTAACATTTTCTTTGCAATCCTTGAAAAAATAATTATGGAAGGAATATCACTTAATCTAATGTTCAACAATAACCCAGATAGAGGCACAAGATAAGCCTGATGAACATCTGAAGACACAAACATAATACTTTCTTCAACGTTTACTCAGATATAATGCCTTATATATCTGGGACAGAA